TGAGCGATAATGTGGCTCTAGCGAATATGATGATATGAGATGCATCTGGTACTTCAGGTGCTCAAATACCTTGGAGCCTGGTCTACAGCATTGGGTTTTGGACAGATCATCTCGGCTGAATAGGATTTCAGAGGGTTGCAAATGAACGTCTTTGTGAGGCTTGGCTGTTCAAATTTTTTTTGGTGAGTTCGAGCGCGGATACCTCGTTTGTAAATATAATAAATAGCGGTATAATGCGTATAATCGTATGTAATGTAATCACAATCATTTGGAATGTTTCGAATGAGGGAACAGTGAATAAAAGATATTTATATGCATTTTTTACAGTAACATTTCAGACCAACTTTCGTCCGTTTTCACAGTAATTTTATAATTCTGAAGACAGACTGAGATTGGTCTATATATATCCTTTGATCAGTTGTGGTTAAGACTGCTATCCGTTTGTTTCGTTGTGCCCAGAACCATTGAAGTGTCAGTTTATTCAAAAAGACAGAAATGAAATAAATTTCAGAATCGAGTTTCATTTATAGCACAATATTGTATTTATTATAGTTACTAATGGCTAATAATTACTAATGCGCCTCAAGAAAATTCGATTTAGGAGGACTTAAGCGTTGTTGGCACACGCAGGGGTATGAATCAGCGCTTTTCATATTTATTTGATGGCATGTACATCGTATGCTCCGCAGGCTATGTTCATAAGCATAGATTGCAGTAGCGCGTGACTGATGCTCGATGTATGTTAATGGTATGATTCCATAGAGCAGTGGTCTACTGAAATGGTCCATAGGCAACCGGCAGCAATTAGGCGGTGTGGGACGTTGTGAAATCCGGTATTTGAGAAGCTAAACTCTTGTAACAGTTTACTGAATGAAAATTATTTGATTTTATATTCGCATAGTTTATTGTTTGTGATTCACTTGGATTACTTGGACCATCTGGTAATCTAAGACTAATCGCATCAGCCGAGCATTCTAAACCCGTCATTTCTAGCGGTTTCGAGCAGTCTCCCTCCGAGCGCTGTCATCTTCCAGGCTCCTGATGTAATCCTCCCACGAAATGGCCTAGGTCTCCATCGAGGGCATCAGTCAGTGATCATCGCCGATCATCTCCCGTCAGTTAGCCGTCAAGGTACGTGTCCAGTCCATCGCATTTTCCTATCCTTTTTAATTAGTTTCATGAAATGGTTAAGATTTTTCGCAGAAGGGCTGGTTATTCGGTGGTAGAGCATCGTACTAATATCCAAAAGGCTGTCAGTTCAAACCCAGGTGATGTCACTCGCCATTCTTCGTGCCGAGGAAGACGAAAAGGGAAGCTCTGCTCTGTCTTACCTACATAGTAGTCGATATTGTCTTTGAAAATAAGACACTGATGATTGATATGATAAAACAGGTTATAGCTTTTTCTGCTTCATAAAGTCCATGAAAGAACGGTGCCACAAGTGGCGCGCGCATGCCATGGGAATATAAGCAGACAGACATATAAACGATTACGAACTTTTCTTTCCGTTAATTTCGACGTTTTGATTTCTGTTGCCGTTTGACTGTATTTTTGATGTGCAGTTGCGAGTTATTTTAAGTATAATGACAGTGTATTAATTACATGGACCATGTATTGTTTTAGGGAACATAGTGGCAGTAAAGTTGAGTCGGTTGTCGACGACCTTGCTGCAGAGAAAGTCATGCCTTGCACCGACAGCTTTACCAAAACAAAGAAAGACTCAATCTCAAATGCTGCGGAACTTGGTGACAAGCCCAAAACGACTGTTACGTCGTCTTTTTCTGATGCTAATTCTGTTGCGGTATCCTCCACGTCATTGTCTCTCTCGTGAAGACTTTGGTGCTGAAGGTATGCCGTGCATTTGTCAAGATTCCGGCATAAAATCACTCGTCACATGTACTGTGGTTGCAAGCGACAAGTAATGAACTAAGTTTATGTGAACGTTTGACTTCTGGAATGTCATTTTGCTTATGTCATGTATGATATGTATTAGGTTTTTTGTTGTATATGCAATATGACATCGTTGTTTCGTTTGAAAAGTTTTTGGAATGCTTATAAAGTTTTGAATTACTTTTTTTCAATAAAGAATAAATTTTTCAATTTTGTCGTACTTATCTTTTGAAACAAATTTATTAAAGTACTTTAAGGTATTAGAAATGTTTCAGTTAATGACTTCACGTTCTTTACAGAAGCCGTGCCACCTTGTGAAACGATTTTGTGCTCGACATCCGTTGTGCTGTACATGTTGCTATTTGACTGATCTGCTGTTGTACAGTGTGTTTTGAAGGTGTGATGATGGCGGCTAAAGTGGCTACTAGCCCTTTGAAATCAGGCAGACCGCAGCTAAGGCGATCGAAGTCTGTGTCCAACACATCGTTGATCAGCTTGTGTGACAGCGACGAGGAGAATTCGTTGCCGCCGCCTAACGCATGCTTTTCCGGCGGGAACAACTGCGTTTCAAGTCACTCTACTGAAGCCAGTCCTACTAGGTTCGCAGTGAAGATGACCAAACGTTATGGTTGTAGACAAGTGTGTAGCGAAGCCGAAGGTACCTCTTGGAAACAGGTACAACAGGCCAAAAATATTTTTACTACTTTAACCAGCTGTTTTAGGAGATTCGAATAGGCCCGGAATTTCAGGCAGAAATTCCGTCTCTTTCTAATGGTTTTGGTTCCTCAGCACCGCAGGAAGTTGCTGATAATGAACAACAAGAGAACGAGCCGAAACTGATGTGGAAGTGCGATGTGTTGAACGAGCAAAAAGTCGTGAAATTCCTTATCGAATACTACCAAATCCTGTATCCGAGATCTCCAAAACTGTCGTCATCATCCCGATTGTTGTATCGCGACGACGAATACGCGCTATACTTGCTTCACAAGAGCGGCTACAAGAAAAGGGTAGCAGTTAGCTACCTGAAGCAACAGCTGGCAACACCGAAACGTGGCCACACCGAAGACTCGGATCTCGTAGCTGTACGACAAGCATGCTGTCCCACCGGCAAGTCGTGGCCCGTCAAGGACGTTGAAGCCTTCGAGGAGGGCATCAAAGAGTTCGGCAAGGATTTCTATAAGATTCAGCGAAAATTCGTAAGTGACGATTTAGTGAAAGTTTAGGGAAAATGCTTTCATCATGCATTCATTAATTTATGTAACTCAAATCGATTTTGCTCAGTTCTGATTTCACTTTCGGAACTTACCCATGAGATTGTCTTCACACCATAAGGTGTGTAGTGCAAATATATATAGAATCAAGTATATAGTGTTTCGGTATGTTTATGCTGTAATAAAAATACTGTATTTCAGTAAATAACAATTGCTTTTGAGGATATAGTATCATTGAAAGCTTGTTATGTCTGAATAGAATGTGCGTCATATACTGAAACAACGTATATACAAAAATCCTGTACCGAAGTACAAACCATTCAGTGCATGCCTTTTACCACACTGATGAGTTACGCTGCCACCAGTAGAAAAGAAATAGTGTTTGTTTTTCCACGAAAAGGCAGGCAGATACGATGGCGAAAGGTGGCTCGATTAATGTTGGCTTTATTTATACAAAATGAATATAAATATTGATGAAAATGTAAAATTGACAACAGCAACAACAGTTGGCTGATTTTTCTTTTTAATTAACATGGATCACCACTGACTAGTCTCGATGACAGATTTCGTCTGTCTTGTGTGATATTTAGCTTCAGTCTACCATATTCATCTTTTCACTCATTGTCTCAGCTGAACCGAGGTCTTCCAATTGCATGCTCGCTTCTCCTTGCTTGATAATAATGCGTCACTACTGAGGTTCATCAGTCATCAATTAGTGATATGGCATAGACTACCGTAGTCCATCTCGGGCTTCGCACACAAGACTGGTGGCCATTTTGTTCGTTTTTAATTTCATTCGTCCTTCGCAAATGGTTTTGGATACTCTTCACGTTCGCCAAGCGTCTTGGACAGGATGTGCTTTTTCCTTTCTCCCAGCCGAACATAATTTGAGGTGACGATTCTGTGAGGCTGGACCCGCTGAATGATTTTTGACACAGCCATCAGCAGCTTCTCCGGCGGTTTCTCCTCTGTAATACTGAGTGGTACCCGTCAATACAAATATTAATTATTGCCTTGGAGTTGTTTCAGCAAAATTTCATTAACATAATGGTTATTCAGCTATATTTTCAGCTAATTCATCGTACCGTTGGCCAGTTAGTGACCTTTTACTACGCTTGGAAGAAATCAGAACGCCACGACAGCCTTGTACAGACGGTTCACTACGAAAAACGAAATTTCAGACTGCACCCGAAGGCGACGTAAGCGCAGTTCTTTTTTCTTTTGGGTTATCGATTGAGCCCTAAGGCTTGCTTTTGATGTCCGCCATGCCGTGTAAAATTATTGCAATAAAATGAGGGTTATTCAGAATTTGTGAAAAAAATCGATTTATACCACACCATGCATATTTTCACTTTTATGTCTGCTAAGTAAGATCGGACGCAGCATCATCACCCTACGCATGCTTGTATATTGAACAGTCTACGAGAGAGGAACTGCTTAAAAACGAGGTATTTGCTAAATGGATTGTAAAAATTGCCGAAACATTTGCACTGGTATGACAAAAGGACATGCCATTATTCGTGTCAACTAATATATTGCAACTTTCAAGCATCAACATAAACATTCTGTTGCTGTAAATCGCGTTGCTGACACTGTACATCTATGCAAGGACGTACAGACTGTGGGCCGTGGCCACGCCTCTGCCGGCCTCATACGCGAATTCGCTCTCATTAAAGTATTTGGTCTGTCTGTGTAGACCACGAATCAAGCTCCAAAGACCTTTCACCTAGCGAAAATCTCGTTCTCAAACATTCAGTTTCTATAATAAATTTTTTTTAGATTTCCTGCTTTTTGTTTATTTCATTTTTTCATCACTTCCTTTTTTTATCCCATTCACTTTTGGCAGTTCATCTTATATTTTTTCGTTAGTTTGCTTTTATCATATGGCTGCTGACATATTTAGCTGAGAGTACGATGTCTTCTCTGAATCACTGCATGTAGATCTATGGACGTCGTGGCGTTGTACAATAAAATATTCATAGTATGTTTATTGGATATGGTTTTTGATGTGATAATCAAGAGCAGAACTAAGTGGGAAAATGTAAACCTTGCATTGAGTAACTTGAGCCCAAAAGATATTGTTTATTTAATTGATATAATAACCTGTAATGTTTATTTAAAATTTGGTAATATTATGTATAAAAGTGCGCGGTATCGTAATGGATTCTCCTATTAGGGCATTTTTACCGAAATCTGCATGAATCATCTGGTGTTCAATGCCCTTTTCTCTGTTCATTTCACCTCAAACGTTCAAATGATATATAGATCACATTTTCATTTTACATGATAATCGTAATAATTTTCACTAAACTGCCCAAATGTTTAAATGACTAAGATCCTAATAATAAAATTCACTTCAAGACACGAATACGATAGCCAGATGGCGTTTGTTGGCATTCTCGTTAAAGAGACATCACTGCATATAGAAAACCGCAGCATTCTGACCGTTATCTTAACATTTCATCCTACATTCCCAAATCTGTCGTCGTCAATATTATTCAGTGCATGGGTCATGGGGTTTTAGGCTGTTGGAGTAATGACTGACTTTTCAAAAGTGAAATCAAGCACCTTTCATCTGCTTTCCTTAAAAATGAATATGCGACATCTTTAATTGACTGTGTATTTTGACTTTACCAATTTGGCCGATCCCACCTCTGTTTGATTGTAATTCTTTCATTTCGATACCAAAGATGTCAGGCGTGTCTGAGAAATTATACGATATTTAAAAACCTATAGTCTTAGTGTAGTTTCCTGCATTAACGAAATCTTAGAAAACCTATTGTAAAAGCGCTTGATCCTTACCCCACATTGGAGATGAAAAGCGTGGTTTATCAGTAGGTGTGACCAGATATATTGGATAGGCCTGTTAAGCGTTAGAAACTGCATCAACGTAGTACAGAATGCCATCAGGTACCGTAACGCTGATCACTCTGGTTTCGTTGCTCATCCTTTGGCGAATGACTTTAACAACAGCGATGTAACGGTGGTGGATCTACACTTGAACAGGGTGAGGCTGTTAATCAAGGAGTCGCTATGCGTCGCTGCTGGCAAAAATAGAACTTGCAATGGTTGCATTTGCTCTATTGAAATTTCCGCAACGTGAAGCATGATTCATACCTTAATTGGCGACCAAAAGTCTAGCATCCAATCGTCCAGTCAAGCACCACAATGGCTAATCAGTTTAGTTTTTGTTTACAGTTCACTCCACTATGATGATCAATGTCAGTTTCGCCGAAACAGTGGAATTTTTATAAAATAATTTTTTTGTTCCCCATGCTGCCAACCATAGAATCAGAAGACCTATCACCTTCAACTCTTCAGCTGCACGGTGTCGGTATGACCATTAGAAATTATTTATCTTCTCTGTACCTGGTTAATTTGTGCTGACGAAAGCACCGTTCCGAAAGTTTGTTATTAAGTTTATTGTTCCAAGCTTCTTATTTTTGGCGAAAGTATTTTGGGTAAATTAGAAGGAAACTTTGTAAAATACGTTATTCGAAAACATAGCTGAATGGCTCTTAAAACGGATATAAAACAAGGCACAAAAATTCAGCCGTCTACTTTCTAGGATGTATTCGTTCATGTGAAACATCAGTAATCTGTTTACAGTACAATTTGGTCCAGGCTGAGATCACCGTGTACTGTCATTACTTAGAATAAATCGCTATGGCTCTCGTTGCTCCTGCCATCTACTTTCTGAAAAGTAGTTGCATGTATCAGTAATGCTTTGCGTAGTGAACACTGGAAATAGAAGCATACTTTTAAGAGCATTGTTTTTTCATAAATTTCATTTGAAATTATTCGAAAATAAGTGTACTGATATTATAAAAAACAGAAAAAAGAGTCTGTAATCGCTGGAATGTCGATATTCCTTACGTTTTAACGTTAGGGTCATTTCTGGCAGCATTATTATCATGAAGTTAGTGGCGGGGTGTTGATCGGCATTTCCAAGAGAGCCAAGGGTTCCTTTTAAAGGCAAGGTTCACTATTGGATAAGCATAGTGTGTAGTATCCTTTTTCCTTTCCACCGTGGTGCTTATTTATCGGAACGAAGAAAAGTGAGTGATTCAGCCAGGGCTCGAACGCAATCCTCTCGGTTCTCAGTCTGACGCTCTACCGGCAGAGCAACTCCAGCCTGTTGTTTCAAGCACGGAGCTAACCTTTTTACGAAATTGCAGTTATCAAGGTTTTCGAGGTATCGAGGTCGTTTTGTTTGAAATTGGTATATTCTGTTTTAAGTTAAAGGATTGACCAGGTTATACCGTACTCACAGTTGCTTTTCGTACAGATTTATTTATAAGCATTACTTAATTACATAGTCATGGGGAGGAGTTCATTTAGC